TAACAATCAATGCTTCATATTCATATTAGTACTATTAAACTCAATAGAGTCTTAGACAAAATGAAGTTATTTTTTTTTTATCTTCTCATATCATGTATTAAACTATTTGTACATAGGATTTTTTTGTCCTGTTATTAATACGTATTCTGACAATAAAAGTCAATATTTTAAATAAGATTGACTAGTATTCTATCACGAATTCAATATAGAATTTAGTTCATTTGGCAATGCACATGTGATTGTTAAAAGTTAACGTTGAACGAGTGCTAATTGCATTGTTGTCGGAACCGATCCGAACAAACTTGATTAGATTATTCAATTGACTACTGTTACTGCCTAGACGATCGATATCGTTGTGTATATATTCCCAATGATAATATTTTTTTCTTTTTTCTTTTTTTGATGACAGTGACGACAACAATTTCCATTTATTTTTTTTTTCGCTCAGTTTATATTGTGACTTTTCATGGCAACTTTCTCTATTTCTTTTTATATGTCGACTATTATGATACATACATCAATGAACGAAAGGATGTAAACATCATCTTGATTTGTTACTATGATTATCTATCATTGACAGAAAAGAAAGAGGTAATGTTCAACATTGGAGTAGCGGTAACTGTTTGATAAGCGACAATATGATGCAAAGGATAAAAATATAACACATATATACAAGAATATCTTAACAATGTTTGATTGAAGAAATCCTTTTCCTTTTTCGACATCAACACTCATCATTTTTTTTTTCTTCTTTCTCTCGTTTGGTACCATAGAGAAATACAAAGAGAATTTTTTTTTTCTTTCCTACTTTCTTTCTTCGTATGTACAGTATTGATTGATCGTGTACATGACCTCTTTCTCTTTCTCCATACTATGATATGCTCATACAAAACAATAGCGTTGATGGATATTGAACATTAAATAAGATTTAATAACGTAAATTTATTTAACTAAATTGTTGGTAAACCTTGTAACTGTTTATATAGTTAAATTACCTAAAACTATATTTTTGGTGAGTAAGTGACATACAGATATCAATGTTAAATAACTATACTAGCAAGTCGAACGTACGACTAATTATACAGGTTAAGCAAAAACGATGAAATTAGACAGGCAATATTTATATCCTTCAACGCCATCGGTGACGACAAACAAATGCATATGAGAAGGGAGGACATGTCATACGATCCAGCATATATATATATATATATATAAACATATGTGTAGATCTCAGTAGTACTTTTTTTGGCTCTTCCCATATTCCATGGCCACACAAGGTCAAAAGATGATATTGAATGACAATATATTACTTGGTGACGTACATAAAAGTTCTTTTTCTACTATTTCATTGTTAACATGTCAAGGTTGGTTGAGATGAGTTAAAGACAATTGGACTAATTTTTTCTTTGTTATGTGTGTTAAATTACATCATCCATGTCTAAGATTGACAACAGAATCTTTAAACAAAATAATGATGCTCGTTTTGTTGTCTTCAAGCTGAGTACTTATTTTCTATCAACTTCACATATGTTGAGTGTGAATGCATAGTCTATTTGTCTCTTATTTACATCATTTGCTTTCTATCTTACTATATATGTATATCAGATTCTTTTCTTTCTTAATTTGACCGATGTATTAAATATTATTCACGGAAAATTCTTTCTTCTTTTTTTTTTTTTGTTTTTTGCGCAACGCAACTCAACTCTGTGAAAATAAATAAGTAAAATCAATCAGTCAAAACGCGATCAGACTAGAGTGATGAATGAATGAAAGAAAATAAAGAGCTCAGATATCCTGTCATGACTTGATTGAATGAACAGACATCTCAATTTTTCTTTTTTTTTTTTTTTCTCTTTTTACTCGTATGTTTGCAGTGCGTCATCAAAAAACTTGACAGATAGAAAAGAAGAAGAAGACAAAGAAAGGAAAAAAGGATGCTATCATTGTCGTTTTCATTAAGTACTGATGCAACATATATATATATATATATATTTCTGAGGTATGGATTTTTGCATTTGTTCAGACACAAGGGAAAAAAAATACAATAGCTATGTGGGTGTTAAATAGTGCATGCATGAACAGTTACTATTCATATATAAACTTACTGAACTAAAAACGATTATCAAATCTGTCACATTGATGAAAATTAATTCGTTTTTTTTTTTTACTCTTTCCTTTTTTTTTTCTTTATTCTCATACATGACGTGTACATTGAACCGATGTATTGTATGCTATTCGTGATGATGGTGTTATAAACATAGTTTTGCGTTTAATGACATGCTACACATGTGCACTTCCATACAAAAGAACATCAATACTTTTGCCTTTGTCTAATCTATTACTCACATATACACAAATATACATTGTAAAATGCATTTTCAAGGAAGTTTTTCTTTTGTATTGATTTCTATTTGATGTTATGTATATTCTTTTGTCATTTTGTGACTTATAGTAAAATAAAATTATTCGATTATCGTAATATGTTCACATTCATTTCGTTGTATTATTTTTGTATTCGTTTTCTTTTGTATTATAGTTAATTTACATGTAAATTGATCATACTCACGAGAAACAGTATATATTATTATTATTATTATAATGAATTTATCGTGATAGCAGGTGAACAATGTATGATAATTCTCGCGTGCCTTCCTGTACTAATGTATCATCTCATCCATGTCGCGTGCAATATAATCATTGGTCACTAGACACATCAACAACTGGGACAACTAGTAGTCAATTATTATCACAAGCTACGACACCATTCTCTTCTACGTCCTATTTTTCTCAACCACAACGAGCTCAACAAGTGTCCACATCACACTATGTTAATTATAATCCAATTTCATCACCATTACCGTCATTATCATCATCATCATCAACCAATTTATATAACTATCAACATCCGAAATCAACAATATTTCGTAATTCAACATCGACAAATCAATCAATATTGCATATGAATGATGTTCGACAACGTTCTGAATCTAAAGCTATAGTTGGTATTGTTAAACCAATGATTCATCAACGTTCATATATTCAATTAAATAATAATAATAATGAAAGTAAAATTCCCGAGATAATGTTAGGTTCATATGATAATAATTTAACACGTTCAACATATCCATTATCATCACCAACAATGTCTTCTAAATTATCTGAAACATCGCCTGTTATTTATCGATCTCGTCCTAATTCATCATATAATAATATGAATGGTCATCCACCTATAGTACCACGACGACATTCATCAATAAATAATAATAATAATAAATCTTTGTCATCTCGTCGTACATCACGAACAACATCATCATATGAAAATGAACAACAACAACAACAACAAAATAATGACAAAATTATTATTGATATTAAACGTCTTGAAATGTTTTATGGAAGTGTTGGTACAATAGTTAAATCAGCTCGTTCAATAGCTCGTCTTTATACAACAACAACACGACAATTAATTAATTTAGAAGATTGGGCATGGCAACAACGTGGTATTCCAGTTTGGATATATAATACTGTTCGTTATTAATATGTATTTTTTTGTTTCTACATTTATTTTTATATTTTATTTTAGGGAGCTAATTTAAAACGAACACGACAAGTTAGATTATTATTAGCTCAACATGAAAGTTGTTTTGCTATATGGTCAAATTTAGTTTCAGATCAAGCTGAATTACATTTACCAAAAGATAATTATATAACATGTTGGTTACCAGAATCAAATTTACTTGTTGTATTACAATTTGAATGTAATAATGCATGTCGATTATTTTTTCGATATTATTATGAAATATTAGAATATGAACAACGTATGAATTTAACAAATCTATCACCCTTATCAACTGAAAATGTTCTACAACAACAACAACAA